AAAACTTTAAAGTAAAATAAAAGACTAAAACAAAAAAANAAAAAAAAAAAATTAAATAAAATTTTTTTTAAAGAAAAAGAAATGAAATTTAAAATTTTAAAATAAATTACCAGGATGAACACCAGGTGGTGGTGTAGCAACTTTTAGCGCTAAACCAAATGCACCCGGAAAACTGTTACTGTCCCGTACAACAAATGTACCCGGTTGCTTATCCCTGAGCATTTTTACAGCTAAAATATATCAAATGTATTTGTTCATATGAAAATGATCAAAAGTATTAGTTATCAAAAAATATCACTATCATTGAAAATATATTAGGAAACATTGTTAAAATTATCAATGAGGAAAATGTGGCATTGATAAAAATGATAAAGCATTGAATGAATAAAATTAAAGAATAATAAAAATATTTGTAAAATAATTTTTTAAAATATTTATAATATATATATATACATATTATATGGAAAATAGTAAAAAGTTATCGTATTGAAAAAATTTATTAAAAAAAGAAATTCATTTTTTTTTTCCATAAAAAATTGTAAAAAGAATTCAAAAATAGTAATAATTTAAATTTTTTTGCTAACAAAAAAAAAGGAATTTTTTTGTTTTTACTTAATATCCACTAAAATTTTCTGCTAAATAGATAAATAATTCTGTATTTATATACATATTTTATTTTTGTTTATTTAAAAATAATTCAAGTTTATAATAACTTGGAAATTTTTTTTTTTTTTGTTTATTGAAATTTTGTTTACTTACAAAAGTAAAAATAACAATGCTTAATGCATTTAGTTGTTAAAAATAGGAAAAAAAACAGTTGAATGTAATTTAAATAATTTGGTTGGAAATTTAAAATTAATTAACGAATTGAATCAATAAATTAAAAAAAAAAGATTCGACAACAATTTTTGAAATATCCTATTAATAATATTGATAATGAATGAAAATTTTTAGCAATTTATAGTCCTTTATATGTTAAAAATGTATCAACAAAAGTAATATGTACAATAATTTTAACAAGATAATTTAATAATTTAATTTTAAAATCAATTTAAACAGACAACTTTTTTCTAATCAAAAAAAAAAAATCAACTCTTCAATGAAATTTTTAATCGCCTAACAAATAAATAATATTTTAAAATGTTAAATTTGATTTTAAAATGACCACAATATATCGCGGTATACCTGAATGAAAATAATTAAGACGTTAAATCGCATAAATTTAATTATTATTTTTGGTATTAAATTATTCATAAAATTTCCTTAAAAGCATAAATTATAAATACAAAAAAATTTTTAATTTTTTAAAAAATTCGAAAAGAAAAATTGTTAATTTCGAATAAGAAATAAAAAAAAACAAACCAAAAAATAAATAAATGATAATTTTGGAAGTAAAAAAAAAAGACAAGAAAAAACTTGCTAACCTTCTTCCCTCGATATTGTCGGCTTGTACCAGTATTTTGATGTATTTTTCACAAATAATGGATGATGATGAATTACCTCACCTAAATCTG